AAAGCTTGAGCGATAGTCATAGTGTGATTGTCAAGTTCTCGTGTAAATGATTTAATAATTATTAATTTAATGATTATTATAGCTTATTTTTATTATGGATCAATGGTTAAAAACGGGTCTTTAGAAACGAGACATGATAATCGAGATGATAGTACTGAAAGCTGTAGTGAGGTACAGTTTCAACAGACGAAAAACAAAGGAAATGATGATAAAAAAGGGGAAAAGCGAAAATATTACAGCGACTATCTATAATTGGGTTTCCATTTTACTGGGGATGAGTCGGAACCTAAACCGCTTTGTGCTATATGTAACGAAGTTCTTGCCAACAGCAGTTTAAAACCATCACTTCTTCGTAGACATATTGAAACAAAACATCCGACACACAAAGATAAACCTCTTGAATATTTCAAAAGAAAATTAGCAAATATCAAAAAGCGTAGCCTTTCTTCTTTCTTGATTTCAAATGAAGATAGTAAAATGGCCCTTGAAGCATCATTTCGAGTAAGTTATAGAATTGCAAGATCTGGAGAAGCGCATACAATAGCAGAAAATTTAATCGGAAAATGTGCGAAAGATATCGCCAAATGTATGCTTGGGGAAAAGGCAGCAAAGAAAATTGAGCTAGTTCCCTTATCAAACAACACGGTGTCGCGTAGAATTTATGACTTGGCTGATTATGTGGAAAATGAACTTCTAAGAAGAATAAAATTGAATTATTTTGCAATTCAACTTGACGAATCGATGGATATAACAAATGCTGCAGTCTTGCTTGTCTACGTTAGATATCTTTTTATGAATATTGTTCAAGAAGATGTACTATTTGTAAAATATTTGAAAACCTACACAACTGGAGAAGTGATTTTCGATATGATCAATGGGTATTTTGCAAAGAATGGAATAAGCTGGTCTTATTGTGTGGGTGTGTGTACAATGGTGCAAAATCTGGTGCGTGTGTACAAATGGTGCAAAATCAATCAATTTTTTTTTGCGTATTCCTGCAGTTATCTATCACTTTATGTGATGCTGTGAAAATTGTGAACTTTATAAAATCACGTGCTACAATTTGCTGTCTATTCCGTATGCTTTGTGAGGATATTAGAAATTTCCACGTTTCTTTACTACTTCACATAGAAGTTAGATGGCTTTCTCGTGGTAAAGTTTTGGCACGTTTGTTTGAATTGAAGTCTGAAGTTCCAAGCATTTTTATTGATCATCCATTTTTCATTTGTCTTCTTGTATATCCGATGTTCTTTGGCTGCAAAAGCTTGTATATTTAGCTGACATTTTTTGTAAACTGAATGAATTAAACATGTCTTTACTAGGAGAGGGTGTCACCATTTTCAGTGTACATGATAGATTTGAGGCTATGTTGAAAAAGATCAATTTTTGGATTCAATGCCTGCAGATGAATGAGTATGGATGTTTAGATTCTGTCAGCACTTTTTTTTATCAGAAAATTCAATTAAACTTGACGAAAACATTAAAAGGAGTATATGCAAACATCTGAACTATCTTCAGTTAACTTTCGATGACTATTTTCCCAACAGATGCAATATATCCATCTCAAACAATTGGATACGTAATCCATTTCAAGGAAATGTAAGTTCAGAAACCTCTCTAAATATACTGGAAAAAGGAAAACTCATAGAGTTATTTTGTGACAGTTCTCTAGAAGCAATTTTTAAAGATCAATCTTTAATTGACTTCTGGCTCAGTATACAAAATGAATATACTGTTCAGTCAAAAAAAGCCATTGAAGTTCTATTACCATTTTGCACAACATATCTATGTGAGAAAGGATTTTCAACATATACTTATCTGAAAGATAAATACAGAAACAGGCTAAATACAGAACCTGATCAAAGACTGAAATTGTCAGATATTGAGCCTAACTTTAAATTCCTTTGTTCTATCAAACAGCCACAAATATCCCATTAAGAGTTTTTCCAAATGTAAAACATAAGAACCAGTTTGTTAAATTTATCTTGTTTTCAACTTTTATAGCTATCATTTTAATCTTATTAATGTTTTATTTAAATGTTTCACGATTAATATAATCAATTATTCTGCAATATGAAAAATATGTATTCTATCAAATTTTATTGCTTTTTTTACCTGTCATTAACGACTACATAGGGGGTTCATCAAATTTTTTCGGACCTTTCTTTTGGTTCGCGAGGAAAAAAGGTTGGGAAACACTGTCCCAGACCATCTTGCAACCATGTCTCTCATTGCAACATAGGCCATTTCAAAACAAGCACGGCACGGACCATCGAGCAATTAAACCAGTCCAGCAAAAGAATTTTCAATGTCAAAAGAGTTGCCATACAACATGCAATCGCGCCGAAAACCAGCGCAGAACACATATCGCCACATTTGGTGATCTTAGGGCACATACAAGAGTAGAGGCCAGTAATTTTTTTTAAATTGTTTTTTCCACTGTTGTTCTTTCCATGTACACAACAATCTGTTTCACTTACAAAAAAAAAAAAAAAAAAAAAAAAAAAAAAAAAAAAAACAGAGAATTGGCACATTGACATCCAAACAACTTTAGCTTTGGCATTGCACACCAGCAAATTGAACATAAGCTATATGCATGTAATAAAAGCAAAATTTTAAGTACAGATGTAAGAACACTGAGACGTAGACATGCAGAAATATACTTGAAAGCTTAGAACGTAGATCTATACTGAAGGGGAAGTAGTCGAGATGGATTGAATTCTATTTTTATTTAAACTGACATTTGTTTCTACAATTCACCTGACACAGTAATCATACCTATTTTCAGAACACTTACATTTCTTAATACTAATGCGATAGGAAGAGAGAGTGTCCAAGCAACACAGAGAATGAAGTTTTTAATTCAAATTACAAATTAGCTATGTCATCAGAGTTATGCAAGCCGCGTGACACAGATTTATCTAGAAATGACACGGTCCCGGAAAGTTATTGTAATTTTAAGAATACAGAGAGGAAATACTCAAAAATGAGGAATTAAAAACCTTTTGTTAAATTTAATTCTAAAGCTGACTTGCATAATTTTTTTATCTCGCATGCATACCGATGTTGCTACATAAGTATGTTTTGGCGAATTCGAGGGTTGCCACATTATTTTAGCCATGAACTAACAATGAAAAGTTTAACGATATGACCATGAAAATCACTAATTAATTAAATCAAAAATCGGTACTTTTCCGTTTCACCGGCGCAAACGACTTTATTGGCAACAACATACAGTATACGCATAAAAAATGTTAACAAATGTTAGTTCCAAGAAATTTTAATTGCGTAAACATTTTAATATCATTTAAAATTTTGTAAAAAACCAATAAAGACAATAAATTTTTAAAGACATTAATTTAAGAATTTACTATTCTTTCATGATTAAACATCCTGATTCGTCTGTTCATATCACGTGACCCCAAGTGATCTCATCTCATATAAACTACGTTACAAAAATCTAATTCTCTCAGTAATTATCTACATTAATTTCAAGTTAAATCTTAATTTGGAATATAAGTTTAAATGAAAGAATTATTTCAATTCATATGAATAGCTTACTCAGAAATTACGTAAAACCGCAGTGCTTTACTTCGCTAGTCTATTTAAATTAGAATTGATGAATTTAACCCTTGACTTTCCCTTTTCAATATTTTTGCCTTCGGGTGAGCAATGTGATTGCATCCTAATTGACTTAATTACCACGAATGGCCTTAGGCATAAAATTGAACTATCTGGTAAGAATTCTATGTAATTGTATGCCAGTATTGAAAGAAATAATCAATCTGATAAAAAATGGCTGCGACTTGTTTTGAAAATGAGGCATAAAAGGTTATCAGCGAGGATATTCTGTTTGGCCTCAGTTGTACCATTACTGCCGACCTTATCGCCTGCGCCAGCAAAACGGAAAGTACCCAACAATCTTTAAATGAAAACATAAAATGCAATTAAAAGCAGCATTTAGATGCTTCAGAATTTGAAATACTTGGTATAATTTTTTTGTCAAAAAATGGCTCCCTTGAGTCACAATTAAGGGTCATTAACAGATACATGCTATCTGCTTATCTATAATGTATATTAAACAAATATTAACTCATTTTCATGATTACATACAGTTAGATATATTTTTTCTGATAATTACTTCTTGGAAATACCATTAAAAATTACAGTACTTTTCTGTTTTGCTGGCATAGGCGATAAAGTCGCCAAAAATGGTACAACTGATGCCAAACAGAATATCCTCGCTGCTAACCTTTTACGCCTCATTTCAAAACAAGTTGCAGCCATTTCTTGTCAGATTGATTGTTTCTTTCAATACTGGCATACAATCACATAGAATTTTTACCAGATAGTTCAATTTTAAGCCCTAAGGGCATTCGCGGTAATTAAGTCAATTAGGATGTAATCACACCGCTCACCCGAAGGCAAAAATACAGAAAAAAAAAAAAGTCAAGGGTTAAAATCATCAATTCTACTGAGAATTCACTAGCAAAATAAAGCACTGCGGTTTTACATAATTTCTGAGTAAGCTAATCGTACGAACTGAAATAATTCTTGCATTTAAACTTGTATTCCAAATTAAGATTTAACTTGAAATTAATGTAGATAATTACTGAGAGAATTATGTTTTTGTAGCGCAGTTTGCATGAGATGGGATCACGTGATATGAACCGGCGAATCAGAATGCTGAACCATGAAAGTACAGTAAATTCTTAAACTAATGTTATTTTACAAATTTATTGGCTTTTCACAAAATTTTAAATGATATTAAAATGTTTATGCCTTTAAAATAAAAAATTCTTAGAACTAACATTTGTTAACATATTTTATGTATATACTGTATGTTGTCGCCAATAAAGTCTGCTTGGAGAGATTTGCGCCGACGAAACGGAAAAGTACCAAAATTACATGCATTAGCATTTATTAACAGAAAGAGAATACATCATGTTAACATAATTACAGAAACAGCCTAAAATATCATAAAATTATTTAATACTTACTTTGAATTCCAAGACCCAGACTGTGGTGCAGATGATGGTAGACTATCAGGAGTAGGTGAACTTCGAATTTCTGGAGTAGCAGAGCGGGGTGAAGAACTAACTCGAGAAATAGGTGATTCTTAATAAAATAAAAATATTAATGTACCAAAGACTTGAATAAAAAGTTCAAAGTTAAATCTTTACAAAGTGCAAAAGAAAGACAATTTTTAAAAAATTCATAAAACTACTATACCATTAGCAGGAATTCCTAGTGATTCTAAAAGTTCTTCTGTTTGAGCTCTCAGATCTTTCTCTGGTTTTATAACTGATCTCGCAGCTTCTTCAGCCTGAAATATGTTTCTATAGATTAAAAATTTAAACAAATATTTGTTAAAGAATTATAATTAAAATTTTTACGTAAATAATTGATTTGTAATTGTGTTTTAATTAGCACTATAACTGTGTGTGTATTTTATTGTCCAATTGTATTTCATTGTATTAAGTCGCTTTTTTTTTTAATTTGTGTTTGTATATTTCTAACAATTAATAATTCCAACAAATATTTGTTAAAAAATTAAAATAGAAATTTTTATGTTGTAAGGATTGTGTTAATTTTATTAACAGTTACATTTTGAGTTAAACTTCCTTTCCTATCGCTTCTTAACTTCAACTTACCACTTCCTGGCAGAACGTAGTTTTAGAATCACATCTGAATGCTAATGAGGAAGAGTGGTATTTAAACGCGAAGTTCTACTGTCTTAGGGTATTACAGTTTATGTAGCTGGCCATGAGAGGGCGCCACTTTTTTACTTTTAGCTTGTTATTTTTTTCTTACCACATTGCGGATTTTGATATAGATGTAGTGGCAACCAAGAAACATGATGAATGTTCTTCTGTAAGCATACAATTGTTGTACATAGCTGTAAATAAAGCTTCTGTGTGAAAAATGGAAAAGAATTCCAAGCGTTCATGTGGATTTTAATCAAGAAAGGTAAGCAAAAGATTATTTATCAAATGTTAAAAATACAAATAAGAAAAAAGATCACAAGAATCAAAATAGAGAGAGATATACCAGAAATTCTGGCTGCACGCATCCGCCTTTTTAAGCTACTCTCTCGTAAACTATTATTATGCTCGGCTGTACTTTAGGCCCTTGATAGCTTCGCAGTCAATTAGCATTAAAGGGCCAACTCTGTTAGAATTTTGATAGCTTCGGCTATATCTCCTTAGTTAAGATTAGTTTAATTTGATTCTTAGTCTCTTAAGTTCAAGCCCAAGTCTCGGCTTTATTGTACAACTCAGAGACGGAGTTCTGTTAAATCTTATTTGAATGATAAAGAGTCTTTGAAACCTTTCCAAGTTTATTTATTGTCTCACGAACTCAAGTGATTATTCGCTTACTAGTTCTTAAAATTCTTCACTTTTCACTGTAACTTAGAATTACACAGTGGAAAATCCTACAATATAATTAATTACATCCTGATTGTGTTTTTAGTTTTTACACTTTTATTTTTTTAAAATGCCATTTATGTGTATTTTTGCAACTAAATTGAAATAATTTTTTTGTATATCGTAGTAGTTGTAATGTACACACAAATTTCAAAATATTCTCCCCTCTTTCTTTGATCATATATTTATTTTGAATTCTCTCAAATGCATTTACATAATGCAAAATAAAAAAAATATATATACACATGAGTAGCTGTTATCTGTTTCTATTGAATTCAGCATAACTTCCTATAACTGTATAAATTGAACTAAACTCTGCAAAAGACTTCATACATATGCTTATCTTGAAAACAGGAAGAACTGCTATGTATAATCACTTTTTGAACTATTATCACACACACATACAAAAGATAATATTTCAGAAAAATTCTTCCTCTCTTCAAGGATACTGAACCCCTTAAAAACAAATAACAGACCAGAATGCATAACACATATTCAACATTCCATAGAAGAATTACTAAACCAACAAATGAGATAAGCTTGTATTTAAGAAAACAAAAATTCAGAAAACTAAAATGTGGAATAGCATGGGGAAGAAAATAAAAGATAATATTTCAGAAAAATTCTTCCTCTCTTCAAGGATAATGAACTCCTTAAAAACAAATAACAGACCAGAATGCATAACACATATTGAACATTCTATAGAAGAATTACTAAACCAACAATGAGATAAGCTTGTATTTAAGAAAACAAAAATTCAGAAAACTAAAATGTGGAATAGCATGGGGAAGAAAACAAAACAATGTACTTGCATCAAACACGCAATAACATTATTCATGCATTGCTGTTTATTGATTGTCTAAAAATTAAATTATACGGTGTTTACAAAAAATAAGGCTAATACCTTAAAGACAATTTACTAGGAATTACTGCCCTGCTCACAAAAGCTTTAGGCAGAGATATTTTTAATGCCTCTGAGAGCGTATTTCACACACTGAAAATCGGAAATATGCTTTAAAAAACTAGCCCAATAGGCATATTTTCACGTATTGAATTTTTAACAATGGTTTAGCTTAAAATATGCATAGCGCCCCATTGAAATCAACAAAGAATATTTTTTTCTACTCAAAACACCATCGAGACATTTTTGCCCGACCTTCTCCGCAACAAAGAATAGGCGTGGCACTGTGTGGCGGCGTGCTGACTCAGCGATCACAGCCAGAGGGTAGAAGAAAGAACCTGACTAGTGAAATTGAAGTTTCATTGTATATTTACGAGCACAGATTTTGTCACACATTCCATGTTACTGAATGGTCATTTGAATAGTAGAATTGGTTATCGACACAAGTTGTTTGGGAGTTCGGTGAAATTTCACATTACGAGATGGAAGAATCTTTTGCACACTTTTCAGAAAATTGAAGGCCAATTGAAAATTAAAGGCATATATAAAGGTAATTGTTTTTCCAAATTTTTCTAGCATGATTTCTAATATGCCTTTAAATCATTTTTATGCGTATAGTGTTTGCATTTTTAATTCTTTCATTATTCTGCGCTAGTTAGGAAAAAAGTCGAAATTTTATTGAGTACTGTAGTGTCGCTTCAGTTCCGTTACATTTCTAATTAAATTTAGTTAAAGCGGAATGGCAACACCTTCTAGTCTTAGCGAAGAACGAAATAAACAAGCTCCGAGTTTTTGTCACGCGATGCTACGTGCATGTAAAATGTAAATAAATATTATGAATAAGAAGCTATAACATCGTAAGGAATAAAATATTGGTTCCATAGGAGTCAGAGAAGTGTTATTTTTCTATATTTGCACACCAGACACTTCACTGGTGTATCCCGGCGTGATCGAATTCTACAATGGCTGACGAAGACGAAACCGAAATTAAAGCAACAACTGCATCTGTCGCCAAGGTAAGCGTTAATGTTCCTCCTTTTTGGAAGCCAGATCCTAAAATATGGTTTATTCAACTAGAAGCACAATTTAGAAATGCAAAAATTAGTGCAGATCAAACAAAATATGATTATGTTATAAGTTCCATTGAACCTGATATTTTGTCACAGGTATCTGATATTCTGCTAAGTCCACCACAAGATAATAAATATGAGGCAATTAAAAATAGACTAATTTCATTATATGCTGATTCAGAGACTCAAAAAACCCAAAAATTACTGAGTGAGTTAGAACTGGGTGACAAAAAGCCATCTCAATTACTGTGTGAGATGCGTAATTTGGCTGGCGATAAAGTAACAGATACTTTCCTAAAAACATTGTGGCTACAACGTTTACCCGTTAATATGCGTAGCATTATATCTGTTAGTAGTGAAGATTTGTCAAAAGTGGCTACAATGGCCGATAAGATTTGGGAATTAAACCCTGTTACTCCCCAAATAGCTGCTGCATCATCTATAACGGTAAAAACGGAAGTGATTGAAAGTTTACAAAAACAGGTTAGTGAACTTAGCTTACAAGTTTAGCTCCCCGTCTCTCATTGACGACGGAGGGACAAGGGGTGCAGCTGAGTCGTCTTTTCATCAGCGACAAAGAATCGGCTACCCAATTTTTAATAGATACTGGGGCAGAAATTTCTGTCATTCCTCCCTTGCCTGCAGATAAAAAAAAACATCTCAAAATTAGAACTCTTTGCTGCAAATGGTACGAAAATTAAAACATATGGCCAAAAATTACACAAGCTTGATCTTGGACTCAGACGATCATTCACATGGCCTTTTGTAATTGCGGACGTAAACAAACCGATAGTAGGCATGGATTTTCTTGCAAAATTTTAACCTTTTGGTAGATTCTAAAAATCGCAAGTTGATTGATGGTACTACATTCTTAACAACCAATGGAACTCCTTGTTTTCAAAATAACAATAATAATATTCCGATTTTAAATGCCGTAAATGATCCATATAAACGTATCATTAACGATTTTCCGGATTTGTTAAAACTCAATGTAGTTAATAATAAAGTTAAAAATCATAACATCGAACATTATATCGAAACCAGAGGTCCACCAGTTTTCGCTAAAGCCAGGAGACTATCAGCTGAGAAACTTAAAGCGGCTAAAAAGGAGTTTGAATTTATGCTCCCAGCTGAGAAACTTAAAGCGGCTAAAAAGGAGTTTGAATTTATGCTCCAAATGGGTTTATGCAGACCATCCAAAAGTAACTGGTCGAGCCCACTACATCTCGCTATGAAGAAATCAGGTGATTGGAGGCCTTGTGGAGACTATCGAGCGTTAAACAACGTCACGATTCCTGATAGATACCCTCTACCATTTTTAACAGATTGCAGTTCCATTTCAGCTGGAAAAAGAGTTTTCTCATCCATAGACCTCATTAGAGCGTACCAACAAATTCCTGTTCGCGAAGAAGAAGAATATACCGAAAACGGCCATTCTCACTCCCTTTGGCTTATTCGAGTTCCCATTCATGACCTTCGGCCTACGAAATGCGGCCCAAACGTTCCAACGTTTCATGAACAGTGTGTTGAATGGACTAGAATTCGTGTTTTGCTATTTGGATGACATTCTAATAGCCTCCCCAGATGAAGAAACTCACCAAAAACATCTACGAGCAGTCCTTGAGAGACTAAACGAATATGGCCTGTGTATTATTAATGCGGCAAAGTGTAAATTTGGTCAAGCAAAACTTGCATTCCTGGGATACGAAGTGTCAGCTGAAGGACTTAAACCTCTCTCAACGAAAGTTGATGCCATCAAAAATTTCCCAGAACCAAAGTCATTTACTAGTTTAAGACGATTTTTAGGTATGGTGAATTTTTATCACAGATTCATACCAAATTGTGCGAAATTGCAACAACCTTTAACAACATTGCTCAGTGGTATTAAAAAGAACTGCAGAAAAGAAATAACCTGGACGGCAGAAAC